CAAGTTATCTATTGTTTAAAGCATCTAATCTATTTTGTTGTTAGATCACTATAAAAATTTATGGAATAATAACTTAAATTATAATAAATAATAATAAATCCAACAATTTTTAATAAAAAAATTATAAAAAACTTATTGTTTTAATGGTTTCAAAGGCAGATTTAACCGATTAAAATAAACGAGACGCAAAAAACGCGTTTAAAAAAATATAATTGAAATTTTGGTTATTGTTTTTGTTTAGATAAAATGTGTAAAATTATTTTTAGATTTTTTTTAAATAAAATAACTAACAATTCTTTTGTAAACCCATTCTGCCGCACAAATCAACGAAAAATTTAATTGTAATAAGTTTGTTTTGCTACTCCGATGTTGTCACAGTTATGATAAAGATTTTTCTACTCATTACTAGTGTCTGGGAAAAAAATTGGTCGATTATGTTTCAGACCTAAAGCTAAAATCGCATTAGAATAATTGTAAAAACCTAGTGTCTGATCTCTTGTTGTAATGTGAAAACTGCTGAAAGATGCCTCTTCATACAATAGCAAATTTATATGTAATTTATTTTTAGAATTTTTTCTCATTTTTATATTTATAGAAAAAAAAACGCAATTTTTTGCGTCTCGTGCATTTTGCCAAAGAAAAAAAATACTATTGGCCGGTTAATAAATTGATAATAGTTACTATCTATAGACTAGATTGAATCTGATTGGTCTGTTTTTTTCACTCACAATTTATCCTTAAAATGTTATGACGTGGCAGCTCTAGAGCGTTCTTTTTGTTATTCAACAAACAAAAATTACATAAAACTTAAAACCAAAATCGGGAAACATGTCCTAATCGGAACTGCGCTAATTATATTTTTTTTAAATTTTGTTCTATTTCGGGCTGTAAAAATTGACTCCCAAAGGTATATATATTAAAAACCGCCAAAATATTTGTTAATATATTTATTATAAATATATTATTAGTGTTAGAAATTTTAAAAAATTATTAATAATTTACAGTAAGAAAAAATAATTATTTTTGAAATTACTCACATACAGATGGGCAACTAATTTGTCTTATAAACCTATTAGCATCTCAATTTCCCATTTTTAAGTCACAATTTCCCCAATATTTTATTCAGTTTTATCTTTAAATTCGTAATTTGTCTACTTTCTAATTATAAACCAAATAAACAAACTAAAAAAAATATTTATCTAAAACAAAAAAATAAAATTATAAAAAATGATTTACCAACAACATTAGAATGTTGTTGGTGTACACTGTATCGACTGTTTGCTTTGTATATGTTTTTAAACGCATTATAAACCAATGTTTATAAACCAGCACAACCAAGGATGGCCTTTTACATTATTATTAAAAAAATAATGTAAAAATAAATAAGGATGACATTATTTTAAATGTCGTCCTTATTTTTTATTTAAAATAATATGCAAAAAATAAGTTAATTAATATCGAATTCAAATAATGATGGACAGTCACCTTGAGTTATTTGATACAAAGTGAGACATCATTGAAAAAGAAGACTCCGGAAAACGCACTCTAACAGTCTGTATGTGCACCCGTTCCACACTCTCCAGTCCTCTTTCGGCGCGGATTTCTTCTGACCCCCTTCCCCTGCAAGCGGGGTGGAACCACATACACGTCCACATAACACGGACAGTGAATGTGTTGACATGGGGAAGCATAAACGGTCGCATAGAGGTAGACTTCCCTAAAAAAAGTATTGAGGCAAATGCTCTACTCTGAAAAATTGGGGTGAGAGTGGAAAAGAACGGTCACAGTAGAAACACTTTTTATGTGCAATTATTAACTAAATTATTATCATACTTTTGTTCAACATAATTCTTAACACTTTTGTTTATTGATTCTTAAGGAAGTGTCAATTGTATCATCAATCATATCAATGCTTTGTTTTTTTACTAACGTTTCAAAATAAAGTGTGGAGTGTTTTTTATTTTCCATCCAAAACACTGTAATGTCCCGTTTTATTCAATAAAAAAAGTGTCACGAACAAAACATGATCATTATTTTGGATATATTCCAAGTAATGTTTTTCAGAAATGTTATTAAAAACGTCTGATCTGAATAAATCTAATAAATATTTTGAGTATAATAAATTTAATAAATTTTACTATTTAAAGGTGTAGACAAATTAGTTCCCGCAAGACAAATTATTCTCCATACTTTATGTCAGAACTAAACCACAATTTTCAAAAACCTACAAAGTCGTCATTTAATTGGTCAAAAATACAATAATTGTTTTATTTTAAAAACTTCGTTTATGTATTAAACTTGTTAGCCAAATCTTATAATTTGTTCATTTTCTTAGTTTTCAGATGTCAACTTTTTGTGTTTACATGGGATGTGACCTATTTTAAACATGTTTGAACAGTTATTAAATTATTTGGATTTATTTTGTTTACTATTTGGTATAAATCATTTTTTATTCACACAATATTATGTTGTAATTGTTCAGAATAAAGAATAAATAAATTTACTTCAATTTTGAAGGGTTTAGATAATTTGATGAGGTTTTGACATATATGTTAATACTTTTGAAATATAATATAATGTTTATCACAAAAAAGATAAAGGTTTTAATATTTTATTTTTAAAAATAGACACTATTTTTTTTTAATTTATTGTTAAAATAGATTTGTAAATGATTTTAATTGTTTTTATTTTTGGGGAGCTTTTTAATAACAATAAGACCAAGTTATAATTTGTTACATAAAACTATCATCGTGATTCGATTTTTCTATTTTAACTATAAATTATTATTTTAAAAACTTTTATTACTTTTTCAGATGAACAACCCATTTTTTATGATGTTTCATCTAATTGACAAAAGTAGAACATTTATGTTAATTTTTGTTTAATGAATTGTTTGTAAAGTCAAAAAATTATATTTCGACATTTTTTCAACCATTTTTATTTTAAAATTAAACTTAATAATATATAAGATGTCAGTTGTAACATTCACATTTTTGAAATATTTTTAATGTTAAAATATAAAATGTTGGTTTAAAACAAATACACGTAATACATTATAAATAGTACCAAAATACTTTTAATACACAATATGAAAGTGTTCTTGGTGGTTTTATTCTCTTTTATTGTATACTCCCAAAAAGTAAGTAATTATTGCAAAATGGTAACTGAAAACAAGTGTTCAAAATGTACAAAAGACTTCATTTTAACTTCTGATTCACAATGTGTGCCTGCCATTGAAATGAAATGTGCAAAAACGGATACAAATGGATTTTGTAAGAAATGTATTCCTGGATATAAAATGGATATCGAAACTAAAAAGTGTGTAATTGGTGATGATTATTGTAAGTCTTATATTTATACAGAAAATGGAGATATATCTTGTGACTTGTGTATTTTTGGTTTAACAAAAATTGATAAAACAAAATGTGAAAACTGTACTTTAACAAATGAAGGATGCCTTATTGCAAGTTCAAGTGATTGTTCTACTTGTACAAGATGTTCCTTTGGGTACTTTTTAGAGTCAAATAAGTGTGTAAGAATACCAAATTGTGAAAGAAATTCTCGAGCTGAAAGTAAGAAGAAAATTTGTTCTGAATGCATTCCCCAATATTACTCTGATGTAGAAAGTTGATGTGTATAAGG